TTCCTCCTCTACCGTCTCCCAATCCTCCTCCACATCCTCTTCCTCCTTACGTTTGTCTTCTTCCCCCTCCGCTTCAAAATCAAACGCATTGGCCTCAACTCTTCTCTTCCTCCTCCTCTTCCTTCTCCTTCCCCTCGTCCTCCTCATTCTATGAATCCTCATCCACTTCTTCCTCATGTTTGTCCTCATCATTCTCCTCCTCCTACCCCCTCTCACTTTCAAACTCCTTGTCCTCCTCTTCCTCCCCCTCCTCCTCCTCCTCCTTGTCCTCTTCATCTTCCTTCTCTGAATCCTCCTCCATCTCCTCTTCGGCATGTTGTCCTCCTATTTCGATTCCGCAAATATAAACTCATTGTCATCCTCCTGCTTCTCTCCCCCTCCTCCTTCTTTAAATTCTCCTCAAGCTCTCCCTCATGTTTGTCCTCCTCATCAGAATCCTCCTACTATTCTTCCTTCTCCTCCTTCTCTGAATCCTCATTGACCTCTTCCTCCTCCTCCTTCTCCTCCCCCTCCCAATGTTTGTCCTCCTGCTCATCGTCTCCTCCTCCTCCCCCTCCACCACCTCCTCCTCCACCTTCTCCTCCAAGCCATATTTGCCCTACTCCTCAAAATTGAGCCCCTTGTTCTCCTCCTCCTCCTCCGCGTCATCTGGTGAATGTCGAGCTCCAGTGGCGCCAGCCATAGTTGAGCAACATCCTCACCCATTTTCCACCGCCTCTTCCTAGCTGTGGAGCGGCGCTCGCAACAAGTTTTGTGAATAATGATTCGTAGCGGAAGGTTGCTCGCAAGGTTTGTTGTGGAGTTGCATTCGCATTTAGATTGGAGGGTAACGCCTCGAAGTGGAGAGGAGGGGGCTGAGTGATCAGGAGCCGTAGCAGCAGGAGGAGTAGGAGGAGGAAGACGAGGAGGGTGAGGAGCATGACGAAGGTGAGGAGCAACACCTTACTCACAAAACTAGGTGTGGAGCGGCGTCCACAGCTAGTTTGGCGAGTAATGTCTCTTATCAAGAGGCTGCTCGCAAAACTGGTTGCGGAGCTGCTTTCGCAACTAGATTTGTGAGTGACGCCGTGAAGCGGAGAGGTGGGGTTGAGTGAAGAAAAGAAGGAGGAGGAAGGATGGGGAGGAGCAGGAGGAGTAGGAGGAGGAATAAGAGGAGGGTGAGGAGCATGACGAGGGTGAGGAGGAAGACATCACTCACAAAACTAGGTGTGGAGCGGCGTTCACAGCTAGTTTTGCGAGTAATGTTTCGTAGCAGGAGGCTGCTCGCAGAACTGATTGGGGAGCTGCGTTCACAACTAGATTTGTGAGTGACGCCACGAAGCGGAGAGGTGGGGGTAAAGTGAAGAAAAGAAGGAGGAGGGGGGAGGAGCAGCAGGAGTAGGAGGAGGAAGAAGAGGAGGGTGAAGAGCATGACGAAGGTGAGGAGCAACACCTTACTCACAAAACTAGGTGTGGAGCGGCGTTCACAGCTAGTTTTGCGAGTAATGTTTCGTAGCAGGAGGCTGCTCGCAGAACTGATTGGGGAGCTGCGTTCACAACTAGATTTGCGAGTGACGCCACGAAGCGGGGAGGTGGGGGTAAAGTGAAGAAAAGAAGGAGGAGGGGGGAGGAGCAGGAGGAGTAGGAGGAGGAAGAAGAGGAGGGTGAGGAGCATGACGAAGGTGAGGAGCAACACCTTACTCACAAAACTAGGTGTGGAGCGGCGTTCACAGCTAGTTTTGCGAGTAATGTTTCGTAGCAGGAGGCTGCTCGCAAAACTGGTTGTGGAGCTGCGTTCATAACTAGATTTGCGAGTGACGCCACGAAGCGGAGAGGTGGGGGTAGAGTGAAGAAACGAAGGAGGAGGAAGGGGGGGGGGAGCAGGAGGAGTAGGAGGAGGAAGAAGAGGAGGGTGAGGAGCATGACGAAGGTGAGGAGCAACACCTTACTCACAAAACTAGGTGTGGAGCGGCGTTCACATTTAGATTTGCGAGTAATGTCTCTTATCAGGAGGCTGCTCGCAAAACTGGTTGCGGAGCTGCGTTCGCAACTAGATTTGTGAGTGACGCCATGAAGCGGAGAGGTGGGGTTGAGTGAAGAAAAGAAGGAGGAGGAAGGATGGGGGGGAGCAGGAGGAGTAGGAGGAGGAAGAAGAGAGGGTGAGGAGCATGACGAGGGTGAGGAGGAAGACATCACTCACACAACTAGGTGTGGAGCGGCGTTCACAGCTAGTTTTGCGAGTAATGTTTCGTAGCAGGAGGCTGCTCGCAGAACTGATTGGGGAGCTGCGTTCACAACTGACGGGGGGCAGCCGACGGCCAACGCTGCCCTGTTGAAGCTACGGGATTTGATTATCATCCTCCTGCTCTTGAAAAAATACCGTTTACCAGATTTTCCAGATTTCCAAGATCTTCCCAGAGATGGCCCTGGTGAAAAACGCTGTGTTTTCCTGCTATTCCTGACCTTCCCAGGGATTACCCCTGAGAAAACGCTGCGTTTTCCTGATATTCCTGATATTCTTGACATTTCCAGAGACTACCCAGGCGCCGAGGCCTCCTGGGGCTGCCGAAACATTGCCCTGGTGGAAAACGCTGTGTTTTCCTGATATTCCTGACCTTCCCAGGGATTACCCCTGAGAAAACGCTGTGTTTTCCTGTTATTCCTGATATTCCTGACATTTCTAGAGACTACCCTGCAGGCTCACGGTAGTCTCTGGAAATGTCAGGAATATCACGAATATCAGGAAAACACAGCGTTTTCTCAAGGGCGGCCGCGCGCAAGGAGCTCGTCGGCGCGCGCAGGCAGCGGAGAACGCAGTGCCCTCCTCGGGCGCGGGCGAGACAGACGACCAGATAGGGGCGCTCGCGGCGCCGGGGGTCCACGGCGCGATCTCGCGCCCGATGCCGCGCGGAAATCCCGGGGGTCGCCGCCTGAAGGCGGGCCTTGAGATGGCGCGGCCGACGGGCGACCTGGGGGGCTCCTGCGCAGTGTCCAGGACTAGGGCGAATGGGCGACCATTCGCTTTCCTCCTCGCCGACTTTCGGAGAGACCCGACGCCTTCAATATTGCGCTGAGACTGGACTGGCTACCGCGCGAGCGGAACCAGGAGGCGGGCGACCCCGGCGACGTGAATACGACGGGCATCGACGAGCATCGCAGGATCCGCGCGACAGCCGCGGGCCCGAGGGGGCGCGCGCGCGACGAGACGACGCGGGCCGCCGAAGAGCCTCGCGAATCGACCACAGAGGGGGGGGCGGCCGCTCCGGGGTGACAGTCCTGCTCAGTGCGCCACGGACGACGGCGCGCGGGCGGAGCTGGGTCGGCCGCGGCGCGCCTGGGCAGGAGAGGGCGCTGGCGAGGAGGCGGCGGCCCGCGAGCGGCCCAGCAGACGGCGCCCGTGCCGGCGCCGCGAGCACAGTGGCAGCGCATGGCCGCTCGGAATTCATCCCCGCGCAGGGGCCGTCGACCGCTCGCCCTGGGTCGCGCGGCGGAGCTCGGCGGCGGCCCCCGCGCGCGGGGCAGTTTCCGAGCGGTGGCTCGGCGCGCCTACGGGATAGTCTCGAGCCTTCGCCTTCCAGGGGGCCCCGCCGCGGAGTGGGCGCGCGGGCCCCCCTCTTCCCTGTCGGCCTTTTCGAGGGCCCCCACCTTTCCGCCGCGGGCGGGGGCGGGAGACCGGGGGGGGGGGGCCGGCCGCGGCGGGCCACTCGAGTGGTTTGCGAAGGACTTCGAGACCGCGCCCCTCGGCCCTTTCGCGCGCGCGATCGGCGCGCAGCGGTGGCTGCGTCGTAGAAGAAGATGGATGAGCGAGCGGGGTGAGAACGCGGTCGAGCCCCCGACGCAACGCTCACTTCCGGGTCACCTCTGCCCCCCTTTTTGTTTTGCAGGTGAGTCACTTTTGTCGCAGACAGGGGGCATCCAAGTCCTGGGAGTGGGGAGTGGCGGGTGCCCGGCGCGCAGGGCCCCCAGCACCGCCACCCATCAAGGGGGAATCGCCGTCACGCCCCTCATCCCTTTGTGCCGCTATCGCATCGCTAATAGAACTCATCGAGGACGCGTCGCCGTGTGCCAACACGAAACTGCATCCCCTTCTGCGCCCGACGTCTGGCCAGTCGGGCGCCGGCGTTGAGCCTACTCCCACCCGCAACCACCCCGAGGTATCGATATCCCTAGAGTGGCAGGCGCCCTGCTCACAGGGCGGCCCGTGGCGCCGCCACCCATGCAAGAGGAATCGCCGTTGCCTCACTCATTCCCTTTATCACGCTATCGCACCGCTATTACGGCTCATCGAGGACACTTTATGATGTTTCGCTATAGGAATGTAGCGCAAGTCTTTGTCAAAGCGTAGCTCCCGCTTGAATGGCAGGCCCATCGGGCGTTGATGTTTCAAGCGCGGTCCGCTGTGATTAACAACGGCGGTCTTGCACTACGAGGAAAGATTTTGGGCGGGACGGTGTGTTGCAGCATCGTTAACGCAGTTTTGATATAGTTGGGTCCACTTTCTCCTCCCCGATCTCCTCTTCCTCGTTCTATGTGTTTCTCCCTCCTCAGGCTCTTCCAGCTCCCAGATGCGTCGAATCCGTGGAAATCCGCCGGGTGTCCCGCGCAGAACGGCGGCCAGTCCCACGGGTTTCGCATCAAAGCCAAGGGGCGCGTCAAATTGCGGAGTCGGGAAAATCGTCCTTCCTCATTATCGTTTTCGCTCCGCGTTCCCTGCCTTATTGTTTCTATTCCCCTTAATCCCTCCCCTTTTTCCTTCCCCCTTCCTCCCATTCTTCCCCCCTGTTTTCCCTGATCGTTCTCTTTCTCCTCCTCCTCCTCCTCCTCCTCCTCCTTCTCCTCCTTCTCCTCCTCCTCCTCCCCCTCCTCCCTCCTCCTCCTCCTCATCCTCCTCCTTCTCCCTCTCCTCCTCGTCCTCCTCCTTCTCTTTTTCTCCTCGTCCTCCTCCTCTTCTTCCTCCTCCTCCTCCTCTCCTTGTTTCTTTCCCCTCCTCTCTTCCCGCCTCCCCTTGCCCCCTGTCCCAGGCTGGAACATCTCCTGCGGAAGCGAGGAAAGCGCCATCCGCCGGCGAGCTGGTGGATCAGGAGATGCCGGGCGGGGGTACGTTGGGTGGCGGTTGAAGTGGTGTATACCTTGCCCGTCACCCCCCCGTTTTCCACCCCTCCCTTTTCGCCTTGCCCCCCCTCCCGCAAGCTACCTCATGAACGTTTTGTGGCGAGTTGCGAGAGGGTGGAAACAGGAATGTTTGGGACGCGATGGTAGAGGAGGGCTGCGTGAGAGGAATTGCTGATCGACCTCTTCCGTGAAGGAAAATGTGCCAAATCGAGCTTTTCTGTGTTCGTTTTGCAGGCATTCCCTTGTTGCGGGAGACAATGTGCACATCGACGTCATCTGTAAGCGAGACATTCGATTATCATCCGCACTTGCCACTATATTCAATCGCTTCGCTCACTCCGCGGGCCCATTTTGTCACTGTGGCTGCGGGGTGGTGCCAGTGCCCAGGGGGAACGGTAGGGCAGGCAGAACGGTCTTCGAGGAGATCTTTGGAGATGTGGCTCGCACCCAGTCGAAGAGAGCCGACCGACTGCCCTAGAGGGCGCCAAGATGGCTCAAGAGAGCTCAAGCAGAGTTTCGAGACGTACCGGGTTTGGGGTCAAAGTCCTCATGGATCTTTCTTGGGGTCTTGTTTGCGAGAGCCTCTGGGGAGCAGTTTCGAGGCCTTTGGGAAGCCTCTTGGGGGCCTCTTGGGGTTTCCTGGGGGCCGATTTTGATCTGAGGATGGAGGCGAGAATTTGAACGTTTTTGTGGACGCGTTTGTTTCGGCAGCATTTGTTGTTGAAGTCTCAGGCGAAAGGCGTGCTGTCGTGTGTAGTGAATGCCTCGAGCGACTTGCGCAGTGCGTGGAACAATGATTATCAGAGGAAGTAGGAGGAGGAGGAGGGTCGATTAGGGCTGGTGAGAGAGTTTGCTGAGGATGTCTGAAGAGAAACGAATGTTTCTGGAGCATCTGTCGTTCAAGTCTCAGGCGAACGGCTTATTGTCGATTGTTGTGATTGCCTCGAGCGATTCGCGCAGTGCGTATAATAATGATGGTCAGACACGTGGGAGGAGGAGAAGGAGGAGGAGGAGGAGGAGGAGGAGGGAACCTCTCGACGGCTTCGTCTACATGCTCCTTTGGGAGGCCTCTTGGGGGGCCTCTCGGGGGGTTCGTCGGGCCGCTGGGAACCGCTTGGGAGCTTCTTGGGGCCTCTCGGGGCCTCTTGGGGACCTCTGGGGGCCTCTCAGGGGCCGCTAGGGGGCCTCTTGGGGACTTGTTCGGGGCCTCTTGGGGATATCTTGATGGTTTCGAGGGGCCTCGTGGGTTCTCCTTGATGCCCTCCTCCTGCAGAAAACGACAGTGAAGCCGAGCATTGAAATCACCCAGAAAGAGTTGCCAGTAGAAAACCATGGGAGGGCACACCAAAAAGGACAATTACTGAAGCCGCTAAAAAAACGCCGGCCTTCAAAAGTTGTGCTGTTGTGCGGGGCGTGTGCGCTGCAGTCCACCATCTTGCCGCCAACTGCTCGCAGCTGGAACTATGCAATGCAGGCTGTCGCCTCTTGAGACATGATCGTCGCACCCAGCCTTCTGAGACATGCCAGTCGCACCCATCACACAGGAGGAGGAGCGGAGAGCAAACCCGCAGAAGCGGGCAACACCTGGGCGTTCGTCAGAAAAGGCGTGGGCGACGGGCTTTGCTGCAAAGGTACGGCGCCAGCGGGATGCGGGAAGTCCCAAACGACCGCGGGGGCTGGGCCAGCGACCAGCTTGCTGCAACAACGTGCTGCTATGCTGCCATACTGATTTCGAGAGTAGAGCTGCAGGGCTGCCGGCAGCAAAGCTGCCGAGGGCTGCAGAGCTGCAGTGCTGCCGGGGGCTGCTGAATTGCAGAGCGCCAGCTACTGAAGTGGCGCAGCGCGGCGAGGGGGCGCCAGCCAACGCAAAAGGCGCCCAGGCGGCGGCAGGGCGGCAGGGCGGCAGGACAGGAGGGCCGCACCCGGCCGGCGCATGCGTCACCGCCAGGTGGGGCGCAGACGCCTGGCCGCAGGGCTGGGCGGGCGGGGGCGCCCAGCTTCACCAGGGAGTCCCAGGCGGCGGCGGGGCAGCGAGCGGCAGAGAGGGGCGCGGCCGGCGCACGCATCCAGCCGGGGGGGGTGCGGGGGCGCGCGGCCACAGGGCTGGCCAGGCGGGAGAATCCACCTGGGGAGGTGGGCACTCCAGCCAGGACAAAAAGCAGGGAGGAAGGAAAAGGTGGCGAGGGAAAGGAAGGGCAGACGTAACCAGGTGTGCGCGGTCGGCAGATATTTGGCCGAACCAGGCGACGGCCGAGCCAGGCGATCGCCCAGCCCACCCCGATCCCCAGCACGATCCTACCGTCCAGGTCTGGGCGATCGTCCCTGGCCGCTGGACTGCCGGCGGACAGATCAGTCGTGACGGCCGTCTGGCCGCCGCGGTTCCCTCGAAGAGCCACGGTCTCAGCGGCGTTATCGTTGTCGGGGGCCAGAGCCGGTCATGGGAAGAGCCCAGGTCGGGGGAGGTTGCTGCACTGGTGACCTGCCGTTCGTCTGACCCACCAGGAGACCCGCAGGCTTCCCCGCCCGCCGTCAGCTCCTCGTGAGCCTGGTGCGCTGCCCGATCGACTGCGCCCTTCTGCGTCGGCGTCGCCCCATCGGGGAGGGGCAGCCCCCGCGCACTGAGAGCCATTCATCAGGTCCCCAGGTATGCCGCCGATCGCAAGACAGCATCGGTGTGGGGCGTCCGCCTTCGGTTGGGCAGCCACCTCGATCAATCAGCTGGACCTGCAGACGCTGGGCCCATCCCCTGGAGGGGAGGGCCTCGGGTTATGGGGTCCACCCAGTGTCTTAGGGAATCTGGGACTCACCGTCAGAGGTGTGCCAGGGACGCGATTGATCGTCGCACGGACATGTAGTGACGAAGCGCCCCGCCTTGGGAGGGCAACTGCTCCGCTCCTTCCTCTTGATCTGCCCTGCCTGGGGCCATCCCTTGGAGGGAACGGCCCAAGGTCGGGGGGACCGTCCAGCGTGTGAGAGCACCAGGCATTCGCTTCCACGGTCGCACCTGGTTCGCGATGGATCTTCGCGGGGAGTAGTGGGATCAAAACCGCGGTCGTTGCCACTCCTGCGGGGCAGCCTTGGAGGGTCACCCCGAAGTCTGGCGACGCCCTGGGCGATGCCGCCTCCTGAGCATGAAAGCCTGGCGCGCGGCCCCCCCCCCCCCCCGGAGTGAGGGCGCCGGGGCGAACCCAGAGGTGCCCCATAGGGCCCCCATTGGGGGGGGGGGCCGAAGGGGCAGCGAGGCCGCGGGTGCCGTCCCTTCCGCGGGCCAACTCGGGCGGGCCACCGCGGGTCCAGGCAGCACCCCAGGGGACGCAGCGCGCGGGGCGGCAGGTCTGGCGGGCGGCCGTTCCCTCGGTCGGGTGCCGCGCGGTGGCCGCAGCCAGGCCGCCGCACGGTCTTCGGGGGTGTCTGGGGGAGCCTGCCTGTGAAGAGCAGGGGGCAGCAGACGTCTTGTTTGGGTTTGTCGAGCCGTCGCTGCAGACACGCTCACGCCCTCGGCCCTGCGCCCGAGTGAGCTTCGTGCCCGCACGCTCCACACGGATTCAGGTTTTCTACCTGGCAGCGAGTCTCATATACGTTTTGTGCATTACAAGCAGAAGAACATGCGTCCAATATGCAGTTGCCGTCCTTGACATCATTGCCCATCTGCAAATCAGAGTTTTCCACTCGAACTTGCTCTCACACCCAGACACTCATTGCCAGACGCTCCCAGCTGCAAGTGCTAGTAAAAGAGATGCGCAAATGAGGATATCCGCGTCGAGTAGTTATCTCATGTGCCCATCTTCCTGCTGCTCCTCCTGCCCCTGCTTCCTCCTGCACTTGTCACTCCTTGTCCTCCCCCCAATCATCTTTCTCATCCCGCTCTTCCTTTTCACCCTCCCACTCCCCCTCCTCCGCGCCCCATCCGCTCTCTTTTTCCCAACCCTCCTATGGTTGGGTACTCGTTTTGAATAGAGCAGTGTGGTCGCCCGGCCTCCTCCTTCTCCCCCCTCCTCTTCTCCTGTTTCATGTGTTCCTGTGTTCCTCTCTCATCTCCTCTCGTGCCGTCGGGCTGCGATCTGCGTAACTGTCGCCACTTATGTGGGCTCCTGGGAGGCCCGGCGGAGGTGGGTCCCACGCGGATCACCTCGGTAGCTCGCCGCCCCCTGGGGGGCTTGCGATCTGCGCAACCCTCTCCACTTTCGTGGGCTCCTGGGAGGCCCAGCGGAGGTGGGTCCCACGCGGATCACCTCGGTAGTTCGCCGCCCCCTGGGGGGCTTGCGATCTGCGCAACCCTCTCCACTTTCGTGGGCTCCTGGGAGGCCCAGCGGAGGTGGGTCCCACGCGGATCACCTTGGGACCTCGCCGCCCCTTGGGGGTCTTGCGATCTGCGCAATTGTCGCCACTTTGGTGGGCTCCTGGGAGGCCCAGCGGAGGTACGTCCCACGCGGACCACCTCGAGACCTCGCCGCCCCCTGGGGGGCTTGCGACCTGCGCAACCGTCGCCACTTTCGTGGGCTCCTGGGAGGCCCAGCGGAGGTGGGTCCCACGCGGATCACCTCGAGACCTCGCCGCGCCCTCGGGGGGGGCTGCGATCTGCGCAACCGTCGCCACTTATGTGGGCTCTTGGGAGGCCCGGCGGAAGTACGTCCCACGCGGATCACCTCGGTAGCTCGCCGCCCCCTGGGGGGCTTGCGATCTGCGCAACCCTCTCCACTTTCGTGGGCTCCTGGGAGGCCCAGCGGAGGTGGGTCCCACGCGGATCACCTCGGTAGTTCGCCGCCCCCTGGGGGGCTTGCGATCTGCGCAACCGTCGCCACCTTCGTGGGCTCCTGGGAGGCCCAGCGGAGGCACGTCCCACGCGGATCACTTCGGTAGCTCGCCGCCCCTGGGGGGCTTGCGATCTGCGCAACCGTCGCCACTTTCGTGGGTTCCTGGGAGGCCCAGCGGAGGTACGTCCCACGCGGACCACCTCGAGACCTCGCGGCGCCCTGGGGGTCTGCGCAACCGTCGCCACTTTCGTGGGCTCCTGGGAGGCCCAGCAGAGGTACGTCTTGCGCGTTGCCGCTGCTCTTCTTGCTGCACTCTTCTGAGCTCACTGATGGGTGCTCTTCTTCCGCACTGCGTGCTTTTCAGCCTGCCCGTCAGCATTGAGTGGTCCCAGATGTAACCACCACGTGTATAGAAAGGGTTGGGTACGTCGCGGGTCATCAGTCCTTCTCATCCTGCGCCTCCGCCTGCTTGTTTTCCAGAAAGCCGACGCGTCAGGCGGTCGCCGACGCCGGCGACGGCCACCAGGGGCGCGCTGCCGCAGCCCCTGGGGCACCCGCGGCGGCGGCGGGCTCTGTGCACGTCGCCCGGCCGGACGTGTCCAAGGCAGGGCCCTCCCCCCTCGCGGGGGGCTCTCGGGGGCGGCGTCGTCGTGGGCGCTCCCGCGCGCGCTGGGGGAGGGAGGAAGGCAGGGGCGGAGGAGGCGGGGAGCAGGAGGAGGGCGCGGAGGAGACGATTGATGATGATGAGGAGGACGAGGACGAGGCAGAGCAGGGAGGAGGAGGAGGAGGAAGAGGAGTAGGAGTAGGAGAAGGAGTAGGAGTAGGAGTAGGAGTAGGAGAAGAAGGAGGAGGTGGAGGAGGAGGAGGAGGAGGAGGAACAGGAACAGGAGGAGCAAGAGAAGGAGGAACAACACGAAGAGGAGGAGGAGGAGGAGGAGGAGGAGGACGGAGGAGGAGAAGGACAACGACGCGGACGAGAGGGAGGATTGGAGCACCGAAAGCCGAGGCAGGATGCGGAGGCGCAGGGGTGCGTAGCAGGTGGGGAAGGAGAGGGCAGGAAACGCACGAGACCTTTTCGCCGGAGGACCGCTTCGCCAAAGTCGGGCCGAACGACAGGGGGGGGATAGGAAAAGGGGGGGGGGGTACGACATCTGCTGCATGCAGCTGGTTTCGGCCCCGCCGCCGGGCCCACTCCTCGATACGTGGGCGCCTCCCGGGGCGTGGATGAGCGACGGGTCCCGTTTCCACGGGAAATCGCGGAATTCCGCCGCCCAACGAGGCGGCACCGGCTGCATTTTGGTGAGGGCACCTTTGCCGATCCATGGATTTGGCGACCGCGCGCCGAATCCATGGATCGCTAATCCATGTTTACGCGCCCCCGACATTCGGGCTTTGTAGCTTCCTCTCCCGCTTCGTCGCCGGAGCGGTGCTCAGCACCTCCCCTGAGAAATAGTTTGCCTATTGTTTCACCATTGTGGAGTATTTTTGAATATTTTAATTCTTCGTTCAAAATCCGCCTATAGGGGGACACGCCCGACCTAACCCCAGCACCTTCATCGCATTTTTTTTGTGGACGTCGTACTTTTTCGTCGTGCTCGGGTGGTGGATTCGCCCACATCTCCAGCTTGGGACAGCGTGACTGCCAGGACGATGAGGACGAGGAGGACCAGGGTGAGCCCAACGTGAGTCAACGACGTTGCAAAAAACACCCTCCGGTCCCACTTCCCCCCGTCATAAGTCCACGAGCGTTTCTTTCCACTGCAAGGGGTGTCCCCTTGAATGGTCAGCACCCAGTGGGCCTGCCATTCCGGCGAGAGCCCCACTGAGAACTGGAACCGCCTTGCTCCCCTCTAGCGAACATTAAGGTTCTGTCGGGCCTGTCCCTCGACAGGAGGAATATCCCAAATAGTCAAAACATTGTATGGGGACGATTTTTTGAATTATTTTTCATTTTGTGGGAGTATTGTTGGGGGATTTTTAATTTTTCGTCCAGAATGCGCCTGTAGGGGGACATGCCCGGCCTAACACTAGGGAATGTCAAACGGTATGGTCACAGTTCGACGGGATGTCCAGCGACATCTTTTTTGAAAGATGCCCCCCTCATCCCCCGTGGGAAGAATCTTGCAAGTTGCGCACCGTTTGTTTGGAGGCGCGCGTGCGCCCTTGGCTCAAACGCTGGCGCACCTCGTTTGGGCAGGCTGCAACTCGCCAAACTAGTTGTTTGTTTGCTTGGGGCTAGGGCTCGTCATTCTGCTGGGGGGCGCGTGGCAGGAACGGTAACGCCCCCATGCGATTACGGGCATGGCGGGCGACGTGGAACGAGGCGGGGATAACTATTTACACATGGTTTTTTTCCATTGTTCTGCCTCGCGAGAGGCTTCCTGGGGGCGCGCCGGGGCGCGGCGTGTCTCGACGCGTAGGCATTCACAGGTCTGTGGGGTCCAGTTTTTTTTTTGTTTGGGGGGTAACTTTGTCAGTTCCCTTGGGTCTGAAAGAGGTATCCCCAAACCGTTGGGTGCACATCAGCTCGCGAGTCAGTTCAGACAATTTGGCAGGTCCCCATCTCGGCAGATTTTCCCTGGAAGGTTGCTGTGCCGGCTGATCTCCCCCCGTTGGATTAGCCTGATCGCATATGTTATTTGTTCTTCGCCTGTGCGGTAACTGTTCCAAAGTTCGGCGGACGAGTCCTTTGGCCCAATGTGTCTGTCAGTTGTTTGCAACGCGCGCGCCAATGAATTGTCTCTTGGATGAAGCGATCTCGCATTGCCAGGTTTCGGCAGCAATATTGATGGATCGGCTTTCCCTTGGAGTGAAAAGCAGAATGGTCAGCGGTGGGCAACAAGCAGCCCTGGACAAGGATAGGGACAATAGTTTCATCACGCATTTGTTTGAAAGCAAGCTCCAGCAACAAGATCAGGTTGAACATGTCCCACACCTCTAGCACTGAAGCGGCTGTAAGCTTTTGAGACGAATGTGCGCGGCTCCGAAGGCGACATCTTGGTTTTGACAACGACCCTCCTCCATTCTTGAGACGGTTGCACACTTTTCGCGGCGCTTAGGCGAAAGCACTGTTTTGACAACCACCGCCCCTCCGTCCTTACAGTTGTTGTGCATTTCAAGCTTCAGGGCCATAAATGGTGAGGAAGTCTCAGGCGAAACGCCCAGCACGCCCCACCGACACGTCTGGGGGCTTGACAGGGAGGAGATGTTTAAACAAGCATGGAAAAGAAGGAGGGGGAGGAGCCAGACCTCTCACTTTTCCCCGCCTCTCAGTTCCCCCTCTCTCTTGCCTCCTCGTTATGTCTTCCCCTCCTCTCCTCCTCCTCCTCCTCCTCCACCTCCTCCTTCTCCACCTCTTCCTCCTCCTCCTCCTCCTCCTCCTCCTCCTCCTCCTCCTCCTCCTCCTCCTCCTCCTCCTCCTCCTCCTCCTCCTCCCCCCTGGGCGAGGGAGGGAGGGATGCAGGAGGATTGCAGGAGGACTGCGCGAGGACTGCAGGCGGACGAGGAGCAGGAGCAGCTGTAGAGTGAGGAGGAGGACTCTCGCACGGGCTGGGGTGGGTCCGGGTTTGGTCCGCCGTGGCCCACCGCGCCAGTTGGAGGGCAGCATACCTTCTAGCCGCAATCTCGGAAGGCCGCGCCTGAGCCGGCCCCGCCCCGCCAGATGCTCTCCTTCAGGCCCGCGCTGGACGTCGTGGGCCTCAAGACCCCGCGGGGGGGGGGGGATCTTGACCTCGAAGGGATCGGAGTAGAAGCATCGGCATAGATATTCTTCTGCTGGTCTCTTCGTCCTCCTTCGTGTCGCCCTCATCGTCCTCTTCACCCTCCTTGTTCCCAACCTAGGCTCTGCCTAGAAGGGTTCTTACTCTGTAGCTTAAAGAAAGCGCCCCGGGCGGTTCCCCCAGTCCCCTGGGAGCCAAGCAAAAGCAACAGCAAAGGTAAAAGCAAACGCGCGGTTCCCCCAGTTGCGCTCCCTGGGTGCCAAGCAAAAGCAAAAGCAAAAGCAAAGGCAACAGTGAAGGCAACAGCGAAGGCAAAGCAAAAGCATAGCGCAGGAGCCTCTAGGAAAACAACATAGCGCAGTATAGCATAGCATAGCATAGCATAGCGCAGCATGGCATAGCGCAGCATAGCATAGCATAGCCTAGCCTAGCCTAGCCAAGCATATCATTGCGCAGCATAGCATATCATAGCATAACATGGCATATCATAGCATAGCAGAGCATAGCATGGCATAGCATAACGCAGCACAGCATCCACTATTGCTGCTGCTGCTATATATATATATACTTTCCTAGAGGCTCCAACCCCTAGGTAGGGTCGCACTGGGATCATTTTCTTTCCCCTCGTCCTCGTTCTCAGGACCTCATACATTGCACCTTGGCTGCCGAATACCCCAAACAGCGCAATAATGCAGTATATAGATGGCAGTGTGCCGTATTGCATTTACGGAGACCGCGCGGGAGACCACACGGGATATCAGACGGAAGACCATACGTCGAAGAGGAAAAACCGCCATAAACATGTTTTTTGGCGCTCCGCGCGGATTTCTTGGATTCGCGCTGGACACCCCTCCCTGGCGCGCGGAGCGCGCCAGGGGCGTCTCTGGAGGCGCCGCCAGGGGGCCCAGGCGCGGATCCAAGAAATTCGCGCGGAGCGAAGAAAGTTTATGTTCATGGCATTTGTTCGTTTTACGGGAACCCTTCCTAGGGACCGTACGGACGTCCATGCGCGAGACCATGCGGGGTACCACGCGGGAGACCGTACAGAAGTCCAGGCAGGAGACCACACAGGAGACCACACGGGAGACCACGAGTAACCAGTTCCGGCCACGGGAGACCATGAGCCACCTTGGATATCTACAGACAAGTTGTTGGGGGAGGTTTTGGAGGTCAACGCTTAAGTCGGGCCTGAAGTCGGGCCGGTCCCTCTACAGGAGGAATGCTCAAGAATCGTAAAATATATAGTCTGGGGAGGATTTGTCGAATATGTTCGAATACTCTTGAGTATTTTGGGGGTATTGGTTATTTTTCGTCCAAGATCCGCCTGCAGGGGGGCACGCCCGACCTACTATTAGGGGAGTTTTCGGGAGGTCAACACGGATTTCTCGGATCGGCGTCGGACCCCCTTGCGGCGGCCCTTCGCGCGATCCGCGCGCCAGGGAGAGGGGGCCCAGCGCCGACCCACTAAGTGCGCGCGGATTCCAGCAACTGTTTGTGTCTTCGAGGGGAGGAGGAGGACGACGACGAGTACCTTGAGCACCTCCATAGTTTTGGGCTCCTCGACTACAGGGGCCCCCCGGGACTACATGGAGCTTCACCCCAGACTAGTGGGACCCCACCCTGGACTGCAGTGACCCCCGCCCTGGACTGCAGAGACCCTCCCCGGACTACGGAGACCCCCGCTCCGTGCTCGCATCACAAATTGCGCGCGACAGATTGAGTTTGTTGGGCGCTGCGTTTGGCTGGCGCGCGAGCGAGGCAGGCGTTTATGCGCGGGTTCAGAAGCGCCTTGGAGCGCCCAGCTCACCCCTGGAGTACAAGCACCCCCGCCAGACCACAATGACCCCCCCTGGACTACCGAGACCCTCCTGGGCAACATTGAGGGCCCCTCCAGACTACGGGACGCCCCCTGGACGACAAGAGCCCTTCCCCTGGACTAAAGGACCCCCCCTGGACTGCTGGTCACCCCAAAACTACCCAGGTACCTAGAGTACAGCAGGCTCGCGCCTTGCCGACGCGGCGGCAACCCTGGCGCGGGTGGTCAAGGCTGAGCGCCGCCAGTCGCTTGGAATCGTGACGAAGGATTCATCTATACCTACACCCGTCTCGCCTTGGCAAAAGCTTGCAAGAAATCTACTGAGCGCTCCGCAGAAGCCTCCAGCCGTGGAAATGCAATGCCGTCACCGCGCCCATCATCACCCCGCTACTGCGGGCTGCATTGGCGCCCCCAGGAAATCACGGATGTGAGCGACGTCGGAAATTTGCCAAGAGAAATTAGGCACGGGCAATGTTGGGTATAGACGTTTCGCGAAACATGCACACAAACATCTATACCTTTACTTGTTTTCTCTTGGTTTCAACAACAGGGTTGCACATCCTCTGCGACCACCTACGTCCAATAGAGGAAAAGACAACCAACTCAAAAGACTTGCGACGCGCACTCTTTCACAACGCCGTCGCCCGCGCGATACGCGGCTTCCTCTGACGTACATTTCAAGAGAAGACGGATATATAGGTATAGATGTAAGGTTCGTGAATCGGCCGCCGTCGAACGATTCTGCGAGATCGAAAGGCCACGACCGTGCGTCCCTTCCCACCTCCACCCTGTCGTTCTTTCGCTTCCCGCTCCTCGCCGCCTCCTGGGGGAGCTGCGGGAACGCCATATGATGAGGAGGGCCTGTGCGCTGGGAGGGGCCTTGAATCTGCGAGAATTGTCGGCGAACGAGCGTGAAGGCCGCAAATGCAGCCAGGGTGCAGAGCCGGCCGGATGTTACGATGAGGTCCATGGTCTTGATCTGCAGGGGGATTGGACTAGCCCAAAAACTCAAGCCGTCGATGTCTCGGACAAGAAACGTGTTGTGCGCCAAGTCTTTCAAGAATGCCCCTTGGAACGCGATGAAGCTCCCGTACATGAAGCCCTAGCAGTGTTGCGTCTGGTATTGCAACCTGCAGAGACTGCCGCTCCAGCAGCCCATTCCTGGACTCACTGTCGGTCATGGACGGATGCCCGCACCTCTGTTGGGATTCTCCTTGCCCGTGCGCGGCCTCGAGAACCAGCCGAAACCCGCCCATGAACGTTCTGCGGCTGAACGCAGCGTCCTCCCACTTCCCGAGAGCGGGCAGAAGCTGTGGCCAGCATGGGTTCACCGTCGATGCCCAGCAGCACGACGCGAGCGGCCCAGGGTGAGACAGGACGACGGGGCAATACCGAGGGCCTCCGAAGGCCGCGCGCGCACGCCGGCAGGAGGCCCGCAGCTGGCACCCTGGAGAGGCAGCCGGGCGGCATGCGAGGCGCGCCGGCGGGCCCCGGCCGCCGTGCCCTCGGGGGGGGGCGGCTGTCGGTGGCCCTCCCGGAGCGGGCCGGACGAAAGGGGGGGATAGGGAGAGGGGGGGTCACGACATTTGCTTCATGCAGCTGGCTTCGGCCCCGCCGCCGGGCCCATGCCTCGATACATGGGCGCCTCCCGGCGCCAGGAGGCGCTGGGGAAATCAGCTACGTGAGCTGATTCTCTACCCTACCCTTTGCTACCTATACGACCACCCTTCGGGTGATAAGGAGTTTCAGGGGGGGGGAGGAACCAACGTCTCACTCGATCGGTCTCACTATCGATCTCACTATCGATCTCACTATCGATCTCACATTCGGTCTCACTATCAATCTCACTATCGATATCAAAATCGATATCACAATTAACGTCATCATCATCAACATCATCGTCATCCGCGTCATCAACATCATCATCATCATCATCATCATCATCATCATCATCATCATCATCATCATCATCATCATCATCATCATCATCGGGCCATCACCATCATCATCACCTCATCGCCATCATCATCAACATCATCATCATCATCATCATCATCATCATCATCATCGGGACACCATCATCGTCACCATCATCATCATCAACCTCATCATCATCATCGGACACCATCAACATCATCATCGGGACACCACCATCATCATCACACCATCATCATCATCATCATCATCATGAACAACAACATCAACATCATCATCATCGGGACACCATCATCTTCATCATCAACATCATTATCAACATCAACATCATCATTGGGACGCCATCATCATCGTCACCAACATCATCACCATTACCATTACAATCATCATCATCATCATCGTCATCATCATCATCATCATCATCGGGACACAATCATCATCAACAACAGCCTCATCATCATCACCATCATCGGGCCACCATCATCAAAATCATCATCAGCACCTCATCATTTTCATCATCAACATCATCGTCAGAATCACGGGGATACCATCATCGTCATCATCATCATCGGGACACCATCATCATCAACAGCATCATCATCAGCCTCCTCATCATCATCATCATCATCATCGGGGCACCAGCATCATCAGCAGCTTCATCATCATCATCATCATCATCATCAGCAGCAGCAGCAGCATCATCATCATCATCATCTCATCATCTCATCATCATAAACATCATCAGGGTGATCAGCATCATCAACGTCGGGACACCATCATCTTCGTCAACATCACCATCAACATCATCATCAGCGGGACACCATCATCATCACCACCATCACCATCATCATCATCATCATCATCATCAACATCGTCAACATCATCATTATCATCATCAGCGGGACACCATCATCATCACCACCATCACCATCATGATCATCATCACCATCATCATCATCATCAACATCATCGACATCATCATCATCATCAGCATCATCAGCATCATCATCATCATCATCACCATCATCATCATTGGAACACCGACGGGACACCGGCGGGACACCGCGGGCCACCGGACGCCGGAAGGGAGTCATTCGGTCCGGCCGCGCCTCAGCCACAGCGGGACACTGGCGGGACACCGCGGGCCACCGGCCCCCGGAAGGGAGTCATTTGGTCCGGCCGCGCCTCAGCTACAGGAGACTTTCTTCTCGCCCGCCCACGCAGCTTCGCCTCGCCCGCACGCACGGCACGCACGCACACGAAACCGAAATCGATTTCCCGGTAGGGGGGCTCTCCGTTCCACTTCGATCTCACCCCCTCACTTCCGATCCCCCCTTTCCTTCCTCCCGACTGGAGCCCGAGGTCAAGGGGGGAAAAACCACCCAGACCCGACAGTTGGCGTTTATTAAACGGCCCTGGGCGTTTACCAAGCAGCCCTGCCCTGTTTGATTCCTTCTTTGGGTGCGTTTACTAAACGGCTTCGCGTTTCGGGGTGGTTATTATCGGGGTGGATTTTCTGCCCTATTCGAGGATCGGAGCAGGGCCAGCGGAGACCAGGGCGGACCCCCAGGGCGTGTTTCCATCCTTTTCGGGGCGGGCCTCCTGGAGGCCTCCCGTTGCCACGGCTGGATTCGCCCCGGAGAAGCGGGTCAGGATGGACCTTGGGAGGGGTCTGGGTACCGACTGCAAGCGGATTTGGGACGGGCGCTAGAGGCGCCGTTGTTCCAATTGGCCGTCTGGGGGCCTGAGGGTGCCAGCACCGCGCGTAAAGTGCTTCATGCTCTGAGCGCGTCTCCCCCCTCGCCTTTCTTTGCGGTCGCTATTTCGTTTCTCAGCTCTTCTCCTGCTCTGTCCCCCTCTCTCTCCCTCCCTCTCCTTCCCTCCTTCCCTCCTCTCTCTCTCTCTCTCTTTCTCTTTGTCCAGTCTCGGTTCGAGAGTGTTCAGAGCGAGCCCAGACGCCAAAGGCCCCGCATCCATTCTTGCCTGGCGAGACCGGACACCGCCCCTTCCAGGCGTGACAGATTGGCGTCACATCGCTCCAGTCCCGCGCGCACCATAGCTCCGGAAGGCTTCCGCCGTGCGCCCCCTGCACCACGGCCCCAGCCACCGGGCACGGGCCGCCAAAAGGAAAGTTTACAGGACAGCAACCTGTCCCGAAAGGAAGTCTGCGTCGCCGCAGTCCAGAGCAGCGTAGGCGTCGACCTAGCAGTCGCCGCAGACAACGAATTCGCTCACCCGCATCACGCCTATCCTGATCAGAGTGAGGGGGCCGAACGGTCATTCACTGTCCCTGGGTGCGTGGCTGAAGTTGGATTCCGCGATGCGGGTTCTTGTTGTTGTTGTTGTTGTTGTTGTTGTTGTTGTTGTTGTTGTTGTTGTTGTTGTTGTTGTTGTTGTTGTTGTTGTTGTTGTTGTTGTTGCGGTTGTTGTTGTTGTTGTTGTTGTTGTTGTTGTTGTTGTTGTTGTTGTTGTGTTTGTTGTTTGTTGTTTGTTGTTTGTTGTTTGTTGTTTGTTGTTTGTTGTTTGTTGTTTGTTGGTTGTTGGTTGTTTGTTGTTGGTTGTTGGTTGTTGGTTGTTGGTTGTTGGTTGTTGGTTGTTGGTTGTTGGTTGTTGGTTGTTGTTTGTTGTTTGTTGTTTGTTGTTGTTGTTGTTGTTGTTTGTTGTCGTCGTCCCACCCGCAACCCGCCCCGCGACCGCGACCCAACCCGCGACCCACCCCGTGACCCACCCGCGACCCACCCCGCGACCCACCCCGCGACCCACCCGCGACCCACCCGCGACCCACCCCGCGACCCACCCCGCGACCCACCCCGCGACCCACCCCGCGACCCACCCCGCGACCCACCCGCGACCCACCCGCGACCCACCCGCGACCCGCACCCGCGACCCACCCGCGACCCACCCGCGACCCACCCGCGCCACCCACCCCGCGACCCTCCCGCGACCCAAACCACGTTCAAGGTACAAACCACCATTTTCGGCGCCTGCGGCCGTTTTTTTTAGCATTCCTTCCAGGTGGAGAGCCCGCGACCCACTCCGCGACCAACTCGTGACCAACCCGCGACCCAAACCACGTTCAGGGTACAAACCACATTTCTCGGCGCCTGCGGCGGGCATCTTCTGCATTCGTTTCATGTGGAGAGCCCGCGGCCCACCCGCGACCACGTTCAGTGTACAAACCAATTTTTTTGGCGCCTGCGGCGGGCATCTTTGGCATTTGTTCCCGGTGTTGAACCCGCGGCCCACCCGCGACCCAAACCACGTTCAGTGTACAAACCAATTTTTTTTGGCGCTTGCGGCGGGCTGCTTTTGCGTTCCTTCCAGGTGGAGGTGGAGAGCCCTCGACCCACCCGCGACCCAAACCACGTTCACTGAACAAACCAATGCCGCACAAGCGCGGCGGCGGATTTTTGCATGCCGTCTGAGCCCGCAACGACTTCTTCAAGCCCCGCGCATCCACACCAGCCCGTCCAGCAACGTTGCCCTGGCGAGTTGCCTGGATCAGAGAAGTCGGGGTGCATAAAGTGGACAGAAAGGATTGCGTTGCCGTTATCTTGGGAAAGGAGGGGGAGGCAGGAGGAGTAAACAGGGGACGAGGAGGACGCGGAAGAAGAGAGGCTGTAAGGAGAATGTGGAGAAGAGGAGGAGGAGGAGGAGGAGGAGGAGGAGGAGGAGGAGGAGGAGGAGGAGGAGGAGGAGGAGGAGGAGCAGGAGCAGGAGCAGGAGCAGGAGAACGAGGAGGGGGAGGAGGGGGAGATCAAGGTAGTGAAGGAGATTTCCGTTTTCCTCACCTCCCTGGACCTCCCGTGCATCATCTCGGGAGATTTCAACATGGTCCCCCAGGAGCTCCTGGCAGGCCACCCCTGGGTCGAGAAAATCTCAGGTGTCGTCAAAACCGCGAACATCGAGACCTCGTGTCGCAATGGTCGTCTCATCGACTACTTCATCATCCACATATCGATCTTTGACTACCTGTCTATCGAGACCGATTTAACCAGTCCATGGAAGCCACACATCGGACTCAGAGCAGTTTTCCGAGTGGAGGCACTCCATCGCCAGGGATGGTTCCCTAGGCAAGCCGCATCAGTCAAATCATCAGCAGCCCCAGCCAGTCCGTGGGCACATTATCGGCACCAGGCGCAGCTAGACCAGCACGAGACGCCGCAGGTGCAGTTCCCCATCGCAGAAGAGTTCGCCAGCAAAACCCTCACCCACCAGTACGGCCTCCTCAGTCGGGCCCTCGAAGGTTGGTGTATCGGGACCCCTGCAGGCACCCAAGAAGGTTACAGTCGCGGGGACGGCTTCGAGGTCATCTGGAGAGACATCCTCCCCCCCACTCCTTTCCAGCATCGACTTCATCATGAAAGTCATCAGTGGGGGGTGGTCCAGCAGCGGGCCCACGAACGGGATCATCTTCTCCAACACCATCCGGCCTCCAGAGAGCTCCTGAGGACCCAGGGGCACCTCACCTCCACCCTCCAGGCGAACCCAGTGTGGCCACCAGACCTTCCGCCAGCCTCGCAGACCCTGGTGCAGTCAT